GGGGCCTGTCTCACCTCTGGGGGCAAGATGTTCCAAAGGGCGGGGGCTACAGCAGAGAAGGCCTGCCTTCTGGACCGTGCTAGTTGGAGTTCTTTTGCCGACGGGGTCCGGAGCATGCCCTCTCTGTGTGATCGGGTGGGACGGGTTGAAATCGTGGGGGAGTGTCTAAGTATGAACTGTATCTCAATCTAAAATACTTTCTACCTTACTTCATGATTGCACTGGTCACTGAGCATAAAAAAAATTTGTTCTTGCTCTCAGTTAATGAAGAATCTCATGTAATTCAAGTTGGCACACTTCTACACAGAAATCTAATGCAGATATACAGGGTTGTTTGTCTTGGTATACACAGTAGTTGTCATGTTGATATCAACTCACACACAAAGCCATCATGCTAATTCATTTTGGACTAAACAACATTATCCAAAGTGCAGAAAAGGAGTAAGAAATAATTTACCAAAGAAATTAAGGCATGAGGTAAGAAAAAGAAAAGGGAACCTAACTAAATCTACAGCAACTATATTCACTATACCTCTCTATACCTTTCCAGCTTTGCAAACTTTCCTTGTTTCCACATCCACAGACCACTTCATATGTTGCTGTTGTTCTTTGAACTTCTCACCTCTCTCCTTTTAAGGATCTCATCGGCTTCATCCAACCACAACTTTATTGATCTTCTCTTTATCCTCCGGCCATTCACTCTTTCTTCACATCCCCATTCAAACCACTCCACTGTACTTCCGTACTGCTTACTCATTTTTGTTTTCAATCTACATTCATCACCCCTTCATTCTTGACCCTATCCTTTTTTTATCACCCAAACTCAAGTAATCCATTCTCCACCTCATTCAACTGACTTCTATATTTTTCCTGTCACTTTAAACTCACTTCCATATAACAAAGTGAGTAAAGCATGCTCTCATACATGGCCATTTTTGCTACTTTTGCCAAGCAAGCATTGTTTGCAACAGACCACCTGCTACCTACTAGGTTTCTATGAGGATTTGCAGGCTTCAAAATTTCTCTATTTTCCCTTCTTTAGTAAACTTTCTACCAAACTACACAAATGTATCTAGTTGCACTAACTGCTTACCATTTAGGTATTCATTGCAATCATTCACTCAGCTTTTCCCATCAAATGCAACTACCTTGATCTTTGTTACAGTAATTCTCAGATCCCTATTCCTTACTCTATCAGTCTGGCATTCACTGCAAATCAGTGGATTCTCAGCCAACAACATGGTTTTGTCTACATACAAAAGTGTATGCATATTCATGTGTCCAACCAACATAACTCTAACATAATCACAAGCATTTTTATACATTTACCTGTAAGTACATTAAGCAACTAATGGGACATCACTCATCTTTGTCTTCTTGCTCAGTGCTAAACATTCAATAGCCATTACATGTATTCTGATGCCTGCTTTATTTCTGTCACATACTATTCTTACTGTAATATTCAACTCCATATTGAGGCAAAACTTTCCATAATTAAAGCCTATTTGCTTTATCATATACTTCCTCTATGTATGTATCTACAATAAAATTCCTTTTTCACATCAATACACTTCTCAATGACCTGCTGAAGAGCAAACATCTGAATACCCTCTGCCATGTATAAAGCCACATTTTACTTCCCAGGTTTGGCTGATTGTGACCTCTGTATCCTTTCAATCTGAACTCTACCAAATATCTTCCCAGATGTGCTTGATAAAATAAACCTTTTATAATCTTTGCATTCACTTTTGCTACCTTTCCCTTTGCTATAAGGGGACTAAAACATTATTCTTCCAATTATCAGGCATGGATGCAGTCTTCACAGATATGTTAAACAAGGTGCACAACCACTCTATAAGCAAACCACACCCATATTTTAACATTTCTGCAAAAATACCATCTACACTTGCAACCTTACCATTTTTACATAGTCTAATAGCATTTATGGCTTTTTGTTCCAGGTGTATGCAATGTACTGACATATACTTGGGATATCTACTCTACTGAGTAATTCCATTGCAAAAAATAAATATCTTCAGTCAACTGTGAAATTTATGACCTTGACTGTATAGATATACAAACCACATTATTAGTTTAGAATTCATAAGTTGGTATTTACTGCTCTCTACAGGAAGTAATAATGTCATTCTATTATGTATTCATCAGCCCCCATCTCAAGTTCTGAGTCCAGTTCTGAGCATCATGTTTTCCAGTGGTTTCCTTCTCTCAAGCTTTTTGCATCTGCCAACTTAATAAGGTGTTTTTTGTTTAGTGAATTTTAGCTCTAGGCTTCTCTGTCCTGGAAAATCTCATGCTACGATTATGTTAATAGCTGTACTACTCTTTTCTTAAATCAAGTTATCTTTCTGTCCCTTCCAAAAAAGAAAAAAAAACCCTGATATTGGATGTCCAGTATAATATTTCAAAATAGGAAAGCTACTATTTTACGTGCTCACCTCTTCCAAGACTGTATGCATTCCTGTATTCCTTGAAGCGCCATATGATGGTACTGCTCCTGTATTCATTCTGGGCAGCCCAGCCCTGTTACTTGAAAAGACTGGATTAGCCGGAAGTGCTCTCTGAGGTGGTTTTAGTCTGGAAGAATCCTAGGGCAAAAATTTTTTGGGTGGTGAATGAATGAATGAATGAATGAATGAATGAGAAAGAAAGAAAGAAAGAAAGAAAGAAAGAAAGAAAGAAAGAAAGAAAGAAAGAAAGAAAGAAAGAAAGTCTATAAACATAATACAAATCTTATAACTAAGATAGACAAAACAGATATCAATTAAGAGCATGGTGTGAAGAACATTAGAAGAGCTCAGAATGAAAACCAAGTTATTAGGCAGAAAAACATTGTTTATTCATGATTTAAGGCATATTTCCCAACTTGAAACTGCCCAAATGTGGTGGTGTTGTAACTCCAGAACTCCCAGTCAGCAATGCAATACTGGAGGGCACCAGAGTGGTGAAGGCCAATTTAAGGTAATTATATTCTGCTCTTCCCTTTCCTGTTTTATGAAGTATACAAACAGTATGCAACAAGAAAAAGACATGCATTTATTTGTATTTTTGCAAGATATATGTGGAAAAGCAATGTAAAGTCCTCTCCTCCCCCACTCCGTGTGTGCGTGTATGTGTATTTGTGTGTGTGTGTCCATGGCTCATAGTCCCCTCCTCAATTACTGCTGGTTTTCCATAAATATACTGCATTTAAGCATAACAATTTTAAGGCTGGATAAGAAAGCAGAAGCCAGAGTCTGGGATCAACATGAAAAAGTATGGGCGGGATTTAAGAATTTGTAGTAGGGGTCATTGATCTTTTGCTCTGAAAGGCCCATTTTATCACTGGTTTTACCTATATGCATATAGCTTTGCCTTTCTATGTCTACGTCCATGTCTATGCTCTAGCAATTAGTTATACAGATTAGTGCAATGTGCTATATATGGGACTGATCTTGCAGAAAGTCCAGAAACCTCAGTTAGTGCAAAATACAATAAAAGTGTTTTGTTCAGGCTGCACTTGCCTTAGAGTTCTCTTCACTGCAGTCCCATGACAGACAGACAGGTTGTTTTAGGTAAATCGGGCCAGATAGATTCTGAATCTAAGCACCATAACTGTTATGTCTTTACATTCCATGATGTATTTGCACACTCAGATTCAGGAAAAGTTGGGTACCCTTAGTTTCTATGAATGAACAATTATAGCCTGTTAGGGCCTAGGAACTAATAAAAGATAATGTTGAGACACTGGCCTGGTTCGCCCACAAGGCTAAGTCAAAGGTTTGGAACCATGGTTTCCTAAACCAACCACACATTATGCTAAGCCAAAAATAAAGTCATAGTCACACTGTGATATTTTGAACCTCCAGGCCACTGAAATAAGGGGGATGATCTAGGCAGAGGAGAGGTTAGAAGAGAAATTCACCAGATACAAGGTGGTGTTGTCATTTCAACCTTATCAGTGTTTTGCAAACCAACTTCAACAACCTGTTTAAGATGAGGTGGTAAGGGGGGAGAGATCTCTGAGCTGTGTGGAGGTCCTCACTCTCTTTTTGCAGCCCTCACAGCCCCAAGAAACTACCTTACCAAACTTTGGCAATAATCCCACTAAAATACAGAAGCACAAGTTCTTTGCTGTTTCTTGATGGGAACCCTCTTTTTTAAGCTAAACTCTCTCATTCTGCCCCTATATAGTCCTTATATTCCTTGCCAATGCTTGATTACAAAAAAGAAAGTGTAAGTGCTCCCCCTATAGGCCAGTTTGTGTCAATACAGGTTGCACTCAATCTCGGGCATAAGACACACCCAAATGATACATAGGTTTCTTTCTGTGTTGAGAAAAATATATGGTCCAATTGTACAAAATGCAGTCCCACTGAAGCAGGTATTTCTACTCTAAAGTTACATTAGCACACATTTGCTAGCAAATACAAAATGTGGTTATTTGAACATTCACTGTTTTAAAATGCCCGCATAGCTTGCCCAGAGTTGTTACTGACAAAGAGGATTTCACGTGTATAAAATTCCTCACCTGCTGAACCATGACGTTTGGAGGCAGAGGTGCAGGCCTGCTTGGTGGAGTTCGTTTTGACAAATGCTTTTCCTCAGTCTGATGTTCTAAAAAGGGGGGTTTCTTTGTACAGTTAGCTGGAACAGCTGGCGGTGGCTGCCTCTGTCTCTTGAGCTCTGCAGGTGGCTGGCAGTACAGCACTTCAGGCTTTGGGGGGATATTTTGTATATCAGTAGCCTACAAGCAAATCACACAAAGAGGAAGATGACATTTCTATTTTATTAGTTACTCTGATTGATAACCAACTTTTTTTCTGGCCTCAGCAGGGGGCAGCACCTGACTGATCTGGTCTGGGCTCAAAATGGACTTAGGACAGACTTAGTTCATTCTTAGGTGGGGGACCTCTGGCAATTTGCATGGTTGTAGGTGAGAGCTGGAAGTTCAGAAAACACCTCCAAAGAACGCCCTGGCAAACTGCCTGGAGGAATGTGTCCATGAAGTCACCAGGTGTCAGGCTCATTTTATCTTTACCTTTTTCCTACTCTGGCAAGTACTCAAGGAGATCAAACAAGCTTAAAGCAATCACTGCACTTCTATTTTCCAAGTATCATTCTTGAATGACTAAATACAAATGCTGCCAATGTATTTTATGTCCTGGCTGCTTTGCCTCAGTCTTGCATAATATATATGGATTTTTCTGTTCGCTCTTGTGCCCTTATTTTGTAAGCTCCAGCATTTGGTTTCATGGAAGATTATGTTTCAAATAAAATCTATACAAGTTCCTTATTAAAAGTAATTGCAATAAATTCAATTTACAGTTGTAAAATAAAATTGAGAGGCACTGTAGCATAGTATAGAGACTAAGATGCTGAGCCTGGAAGCCCCCACTCGACTGAATAACTCACTGAGTAACTGAGTCAGGTACTATATCTCAAACCAGCCGTCCCCAGGGAGTTGCTGTAAGAATAAAATGAGGGAACCTCTACTTGTACTGGCTTGAAAACTATATAAATTAACAATAAATAAATAAATAATAATTTGCACTGAGAAAAAAAATGTGCAAAGATCCCGAAATGGTCTAGTTAAGAGATTATGGGAACTGACATATGGAAAAACTTTCTTAGAACATAACAAAGAAAGTAGTTCTGCAGCTAAGATATTTCCTTGGAGGATGTATTTTAAAATGCTAAGGAATTATAGCACGGATCCACAGAGGATTGATCAGAAATTATTTAATACTGCAGCTACAAGTTGTTTCAAGTACCTTTCTCTGTCCTTGTGGAGTTTTCAGTTTGAAAGCTGGATTGGCATGTCCATTCACATCCTTCTGAAAGGAAGGAGGTGCGCTGTATCCAAAGAACAGGGACAAACAAGTATTACAAACCATTTCTGCAACTGCACCTGCTTTATTTATATAATGGTTCCTCATACAAATAAAACCAAATGTTCTTATCTAGACTAACTTTGGAAAAAGGCCAATGTACTAATTACCCAGGTTGTAATAATTCTCATTTATTTGGGAGGAACTGAAGTCTCTCGTTAAATATAAACCAAAATTTCTAGCAGGAAATCTATAGAGTAAGCACTGACGGAACTGAATGGTTGTCTAAAAACTAACTGGAATTGTGCCCAAATTATGGACTGAATTCACACACTATACTAAGGCTCTGTGCAATTCACCTCTCGTGTGTACTCAGCCACTGTGGTTTGTAAATCACAATTTAGAGCAGGGATTTACAGACTGAGGTTTAAGGTCACATGTAACCCTTCTCCTAAAAGCCTTGAATGTGTCCTCCAAAGCCCTTCCAGAAACTGTAATGGTACCCTTGTAGTATAGATATAAAGAAAAAATACCTGGTTTGTCATACATATGTATCCAGAAATCAACTGAGATTTGAGGGGATACAAGCAACACCACATGCATCTATTCTCATGGCTATTTAGCATAAAAAATGCTACTGTCTCATTTACTGACAAATCTTTTCATTCATTCATCCATTAATTCACACATTCACCTGGGCTGTTGGGTTTTCTTGGGAGTAAAGATAGTCTGCTTTACTGGCGCAAGTCTGGTTCTCCATTTATAACAGCAAAAAGCTATTCCAACTAGAATCAAAAGCAAGATGGAAACCAGGACACCTATGACGATTGGAATAGGACCTGGACCAGAAAAAGAAGAAAGCCAAAATTATTCAAATTCAGTGATTGTGCTAAAATTCAACCACAACCACAACAAAACCCACTACAGGATGCCAGTATTTGAACAGGTAGTAGTGAAGGACATTTCAGCAAGTCCTGTTTTCTATGTCATGTCTCACAATGCTGAATATGTGAGAGACAAAAACTCCACTTGCCAAACGTCCCCTCAGCTATACTGGAATGGACCCAGTATCCTGTGGTCCTGTACCTCACCTGCTCACCCAAATTCCTGTCCCACAAGCACTGTTCAAATGTCATTAATGGAATAACAATACAAGTTACACCAACTTTTTTCAAGCACGGGGCCACTGTCCAGGCTTCCTCCCCTTCCAGGTTTATCACAAAATGGAGGCGCCCATCCGCTGAAACAATGGCAGTTGTGATTGTTGTTGCAAATCTGTGTTGAGAGAACACCATCAGTGTTACTTCTGCAGCAAACACCCTGCTCATGCCAATCCAAACAGCACAAGAAGCCTTTGCACCTCCCCTTGGCTTTTGTTAGAGCTCAGGGCATCTAAAAGTAACCCTGACAATCCATGGTTATATCCATCAGCCATCCCAAGAAATGCAACGTTTGAACATTCTTTTCATTTTTAACACTTAAGCCCGAAAGGGTGTATTTCCATCCTTCAAAATTCACTTTGGGTTATATGTGCATTCCTGAAGAGGAACAGAGATGACTTCCACTATTTTTAACCTCCCAACAAATATCCTCTCCATAACAAATGGCCATAACTTCTTCTCAAATGTAAAACCACAGCTTAAGGAAAGCTGCCAGATCCAACATTTGGTATTCAAGATCTGTATAACACTTCATAGCCTGTCTTTATATGCTGAACATAACCCTAAGATTTGTTTAAAACTGTGAGACCAGTTCTAGTTCATCCTTGTGTGATGGACATCCACTCTAACATTTCATATTCTGCCTCACCATCCAACAAGCACTTGGTCACAAATCAGATTGTCTAGTGGACAATCTGATTTTCACTATAAAAATATTCCAAGAAAAACAGACCATAGATACAAAAGCATGTTTTGCATTTTGTTCCTCTTTCTTCCATTTAACCTCTGCCGAACCTCTCTCAGTACAAAATATGAAAAGTACAAAAGCATTTATGACCATTGATTTTTTAGTTTGAACTTTAAGAGCTTTTGCACAGACGTACATTTTAATCCCTTACCTATCATCCAACTGATGTGTTAATATAGGATAGGAAGGGGGGGGTGAATCCCTCTAAAATTTGGTACCTTTAGAGAAAGCCACAAAAGACCATCTGACATGGTGATGTCACTGAAAGGGGAGGAGGCCATATTTGTTATTCCTGTTTTCTTCATACTGTTCTCATCAATTCACATTCTGCTCTGTTTTCTTCCCTTTTCCATCCATTCCCTCCACAACAACCTGAAATCACCGTTTGGGGGCCAAACTTTGGGGAGGGGGAGAATTGGGAAATTTAAATTGAAATATGGGGATGTCCTTTTCTTCCCATTTTCCAGGTCAATTCTGAAAAAACAAAATTCCATTACTGAAATATGGGCATTTTGCTGCAAATTTTGGCCACATGACTTGAAGATGTTGGAAGGGCACAGATGGGGTGCTAGGAAGACACATGTAGTGTGCACTTCTGTTCTAAAACATATTTTGGTCAATGTACAAATTAAACAAGAACTGATTTTTAAATGATAAGTTTGAATCTTGTTCTGGAGGAAGATACAATTGAACTGGAAGTCTTTCTACAGCCAGGCATATCTCTGACAGGATATCTTTCTTCATGTATGCTACATAGACAGCTTATTAGTTTTCTGAAATCCAACAAAAAGAATAACAGCTGGCCAACTGAGTAAGCAGCAAATACTTTGGTGTCTGAATATAAGGACAGATACTTACGCCATTGCCATTGCATTTTTTTCCACAATGTCCACTATCAAAGAAGGAGGTATTCTGACAGTGGCCCTCAAAGCAAACCTGTAGGAGAAACAGAACTTTCAGAATTATACTAAAGAAGTGATTCTTAAAGTGTGGTCCTAGGACCCTTGGGGTACCCCAAGACCCTCTCAGAGGTCCACAAAATCAAAATTATTAGCCAGCCTATGTTGAAAAATAATATAATATTAAAATCCCATCAAACAATCATGAGAAGTGGTAGTGGCAGAGAATGTGTCAATTTTAATTTTTAAAATGGTAAATATTGATAAATATAACCAAGAGGAAAAAAGTTTAAGAAACACTGTACTAAAGGAACAAGAAATGGTATGAAATGGTTTGGGGCGCAAGAAAGGCTTGGGGTGCATACCACTGCATCAATACTGAGAAGCCCTAAAGGCTGTTGCTAACTCTTGCACCTTCCCTGTAGGCTCTCAGCATCTGGTACCACTAATAGAAATTAAAGTGGGGAGAAAGAGTAACAGTTAACGAGGATGAAGGATGCTAAACAAACGTTTCTTGAAATTCCATAAATCTGTAGTGTCACACCCAATATTTTGTGTGGAGTGGGAATACATCCAGATTCAATGGGTGTGTAATGGGTGTGGGAGCACAGATCTTAGCCAAAGAGCAGCCTGTTCCAAGGGAGGGAAGCTACACCCAGAGCGCCCTCTCTTATTCCAAGTTGTTCATTCTGAGGACTCCCTTGGGATTTTTCTCTTTTTTCAAAGCTATATTAAACCTCTAAAACAAATTGTTGCACACAATAATTTTGGGAAAAACAAACATGTATCCTCAAAGAGTAAAAGTGGAATAAGATACAAGCTTACAGTAGGCAGCCAATGCTTACATGACTATCACCGCATTTGGTTCCCGTCATCACAAGCCCTGGGTCTAATATATCTCCTTCATCTTCTTCATTTCGATATACATGAGTACCACGACAATGAATTTCCCTTCCATTTAATTTGATAGTTGTGTCAATTGCAACAGCATTGGACTCCAGAGGCTTAGAAGCAGAACTTTGGCACTGTATCTTGCCACATTTAGCATTGCTGGAAAGAGAAACTCTGTGAGTTTGAGCATTCTGGCTAAGATCTTAGCTTCTCACACACCCAACACAAAGGCTTACATAAAATTATTTACTTCCAATAAAATGAAGAGGCTTGAGGGACCTAGTGAGTCACATTCCATGTTGTGTGCTGAAAACCATATTTCATATACGCTGAAAATCATATTTCATGTTCATTGACCTCAAGATTACCCTACCATTACATGCTCTATGTGACACTGCACACAAAAAAGATTTTAGCTGATGAAAAATGCAATGGCTTACTTTCTTTGGGTCTCCAGAACTATATACACATGCTCAGACATTTAGAGTGACTTTCCATTACTTTCTGAGATCAGTTTCAGTTCTGCTTTTTATTAATAAAACCCTTGTTGGTACAGTCCTGTATAATTAAAGAGTTGTTGAACTGCATGAAAATGAACATGCTTATAGTTGTGGGTCAAAATATGGCTTGAAGAGCATTTTGATATCCCATCTTGGAATAGTATATCTCTTTCTTTTCAGTATCAAGTGTGGGGAGTCCTGACCCATATTGGGACCAAGGTATTGGTGGATTTTATTTTTTCTCCAATTTTTTTTTAAAAGGGGGGTACTTATGAAAACAGTCTGGAATTGTTGAAAAGCTTCATGTTTCAAAATATTTTTCAGAAAAATCTTGCTGGAAGAAGTAAGCAGCTCCTATCTGGACTGGGTAAAGAACTTCAGATAATATATTCATGAATGACCCTTTCAAACAACTCATGAGTCCTTCCTCTGATATTTGATTGATATGTTAATTGTGTATCCAACAAGGAACAGCAGGAGAATATTTACAGATGTGAGGTCAAGAGGAGTCTCTTTCCATAACCAGGAAGTTATGGTATGAACTTGGCCTGAAAGATTTAATATAAGCAATGCAAAAATGGACCATTTTGTTCAACAACATTGCCAATCAATTTGTAGCCATTTGCAATATAGATTGGATTCATTTTCTCATATTTTAACTTGTGAGGATAATGAGCTATCCCATCCCACACAAAACAGTTGTTCCGCTTTTTACCTGGTGTCGCACTTCCTGTATCTGCCACTGATATCCTTCCCACAGTTCCCATAGGGATCTCCAGCGGCGTTAACTCTCTCAAAGCAAAGGTCAGGTGCTGGCCTTGCTCCTGTATGGAAAAGACTCACACGTATGGTATCTGTGAAAGATAACTTACTACATCCATCACCCAGCTGCTTAGCACTGGGTGTGAACCCATCAGCAAGAGAACAGAATTGTTATTTTACTAGGACAAGGGTGGCCAAACTGTCCCAGCCCAATCTGTAAAATATATTTCATATGGTCTTCATGGGGTTTACCAGACAACTCTTCTATGATTATTTGTAATAAAATTATAAGAAATGTCATACTTTTGCATTTTTAAAGGCTTTTAGCCCTTGTAATGAAAATTTGAATCAATTTTCAAAGCTTAAAACTTAAGAAAATATCATCCCAGCTCAACGTGGCTAAGGTTAACACTATGCCATTCTGATTTAGTGTGTTATTTATTTATTATTTATTTATTTATTAAATTTCTCCCCCGCCCATCTCCCCCCAATGGGGGACTCTGGGCGGTTCTTTTTTTTTTTTTAATCTGCACTCAGTCGTTACCGACTCTGTGGTGACTGCTTAGACGAGTCCTTGCAGTTTTCAAGGGAAGGTGTTTCGGAAGTGATTTGCCAGGGCCTCCTTCCTAGAGCAGAGCCCAGCTGGCGAGTGCAGGAGGAGGGTTTTCCGTTGCTTCATGCCATTTTCGGGCGAGCATGGCTTTCACGCTACCACAACTGCTCCCGACTCCTTTTGCAAGGTGCCACCAGCATTTTTCCTCTCACCAGAGTATATAAATACATAAAAAATAAAAATTTAAAACCCAGCCACTACAGTTTAAGAATCTTGTTAGCACAATATATGGACTCAATCAACAAGTTATCCAACAAGCCATGATTCTAAGCAAGGCTTAGAATTATATATAGAAGTAGTTGCCTGGCCTTTACTGATCACAGCAGCCTCTGTGATGGGTCCTCCCTTCTCTCTTTCTCTGCTCCTCTTTCTTGACGTAATTACAGTTCCATAAACTAAAAATAAGAACACTCTTCTCCTTCCTTTTCCTTAGACCTCTGGATGCAAGGGGCCTCACTTGGTGCAATGCCCTTCTCAGAGATCAGTCTTCCTTACCATATCCCCAGAGCTGCAAACACTGCTGCTCGTATGTCAGACACATTCCATTGTAGCAATATGCTCTGCCATCTTCACATGGTGTACCATCCAACTGATAGAAGTTTGCAGGGCAAAATGGTGATTTGCCTGAACAGTACTCTGGTAGGTCACATGTTCTCGCCTGTTCCCGGCAAAGAGTTCCAGGTGAAACTAACTAAAGAAACAAAAAGTAATTATGCATTTATTTCAGGGGGTTGTGGAATACTTAGCATTTTAGGTAATGTGATTAAGCATTGATCTATCTGCTTAAAGATGTATATGTCACAGATTTATTTTGAAGACAATTAGAACTGACTTTCAGTTCCCTTCATTCTGCATAGCAATTATCATTTCCATTCAACCTAATTCCTAAAGCATCATTAAAGGGAAGAAACTCCTCATTACTGCCCCCCAATTACATTTTTGTTTCTTAACTCTATATAGAATCTTTTTGTCAAATTCCTGAGGACACTTTTTCAAACAAAGGCATCCTTGAACCATATCCTAATTTAGACCTCCTACTCCATAGTGCCTCATTATTGATTATTTATACCTTTTCCCCACAGGAGTACCCATAACACAGGGAAAGAGACAGAGTTTGTATGCAAAATATTCCATGTTCAATTCCCAGCATTTTCAGTTTTTTAAAAAGTATATCGTATTTATTGGTAAAAACCCCTGGCAGATACACTGATAACTTTTAGCAAGTGGCTTAATGGATAGGGCAAGGAGCAGTTGATTTCTATTTTATGTCTGATATATATTACATAAATCCTAAGTGAGGGTTTTAACAGGCAATATTCTGTTATCACCATGCCACCTCATTTGTATTCAGGAAGATCATGCACCTAATGCTGATTCTGGTATTTCCTTTGCTTAACAGGTGCAAGAAAGGGAAAGGAACTGCTGTGCGCGTGCAAAACCTCAGAATCACTAACACGCTTCACCATGTGGTAGCTGCTTGAATTTGGATGGAAGGTACTTGAACTCTGTGATGGTATCCAGGCAGCTGTATTCAGCTGTCATCATGCCAAGGATTAAGCTGTTGAATGCTACCACAAACAATCCAAAATATTAGATGGTAGTGGTGTGCAAAAATCCAAATGTTGCATATTGAGTGGCTTTTGCCTGACCAGTTGGCCACAAATGTAGGGCCAACTTGAGTAGCAATTTTAAGCAAACCCAGGGGATGCATTTATGAAAACAGGGCCTCCAGGAGGAGGAGTATGGAAAAACCCAGCATACCAAGACTATTTTAAGTACATTTTCCTAGGAAAGTTGTAATGTAAAGTGATACCCAGGCATCTTTTGTCTGTATATTTATCTACTCCACCCTACCCAAGAAATGAAGTTTAATCCATAAAGAGATTCAAATGTAAACTATAACAGAGAACAGAAAACTATCAATAAGAAGTAGGTCAGAAAAAAATCTAAGTGTAGGTTTTGTCTTGCCAGACACTATATATAAAAAGAGGAAGGAAGGCTTAGCTTTAGGCCCAGCTGGGTCAATTGCCTCCTTTGAAAGACAAACTTCCCATTTGTAGCTGTTATAATCTCAGGGTGATACTAATTTTAGCCAAAACAGCTGCTTTGGGTAGCTCTCCAAAGATATAAAAGTAATAAAATCAAAACCCGGTTGTCTCTACCCTCCGAACCAATCTGGCAGGAGGGGCATGCTGTGGATACTGTCAGCCAAGGAATGTTGGTTGGCAAGGCCCCAAAGGAGAGCCTTTTCTGCCATTGTCTCTGCCCTCTGGAATATCATCCCTCCAGAGATTAGGTTGGCCCAACCCTGCTGGCATTCCATAGGGCCTTGAAGACCTGGTTCTGTGCTCGAGCCTGGGGCCCCGGGTGTATGATGGAGCCTGTTTCCTGGCTATACTGAGGAGTTTTTATGATTCTCAGGTTGTGTTTTATTTCTCACTTTGTTTTGTATTTGTATAGATTTTTATTTGTTTTTAATGTTGTGAGCCACCAAGAATCATGTACTTGAGATGGACGGCCATATAAATTGAATAAAATAAATAAATAAACCTCATTCAGTCTTGTTTAGGCTTCTAAACCTCTGTTTTGTTTGGTGTCTTCAAGTCAGTCTTGACTCCTAGGGTCAACTGAAGACAAGTCCGTGGAGTTTTTTTGGTACCATTTTTCAAAAGTGGTTCACCTTTGCCTTCTTCCAAGGGCTGAGAGGAATGATTGGTTCAAGGACACCCAGTTGACTTTCATGCCTAAGGCAGGACTACAACTCACTGTCTCCCAGTTTCTAGACCACCTCCTTAACCGCTACATCAAACTGGCTCTATAAACCTCTGCACACATTTACGACAATGTAGTCCATATATGTAGTGTGGCATGCTAGCAAACATACACCCCTCTGATAGGTGGATATGGTAGGTGGATTGGTCCCTCTGACCCTCTGAAGCTGGGTGTCCTTAAGCTCTTCCCCCACAATCTCTGCACCTTCCCCCACTCCCATGGGGATCCTACTTGGCATTGTGCCACCAACCAGTCCTCTCTGGTACTTCACATTCATGAATAGATGAAGCAGTCATGTAACCCTAACCCTGCTTTTCTTCCAGTTGCAGCTTAACTGAGCAGGGGATATGTGCCCTGGGGTTACAACCTTTTAAAATTAGAGTGCTGATTCAAATGAGAATACAAGCCTTTATTATGTATATTAAGATTAAGGAACTAAAGGGGAACCGAAAGCACAAGGAAAACAGAAGGTAATCCCACCTTGCATTGGTGACAGCAAGTTCCATGAGCACATTCAGCACCCTGCTTCAGAGAGCAATTAGCAGCATTGCAACAAGGATTATTACATTCCTGCAGGAGAAATAACAGAAATGACAATTGCTGCACTTACAGAGCAGATGTTCTGAGTCTAAAAACATTGGAAAGCATTTGGCTGTCTTTCTGGGTGGCTTGTAAGATTGGACATTCTTTTACTCTTCATGCCAAACATAACAACCTCCAAGAAGCTTCAAAGTTGCTTCCTAATCATGTTGCATCTGGGGCTCAAATGCTTCAGTTCTCAAATAAATTGAGATCAAAACATCAAAACATCATGTCTGAGTTTCTCAAACAATGGGATCTCCATCTAAGTTTCTCAGACAATAGCATCAGTGCTGCCCCACTGCTGATCTATTTGAATAGTTAATTTCTCATGCTTTTGGATTACATTAGCTTATTCAATGCTCTAGAAAGGAAAGGGACAAGGTTCCTCTCAAGTAGCGAGAGGTAATTAGGAGGTGTGGGTAGAAGGAAGTGAAACTCTGGATCTTCTCCCCATGTTCACCAAATTCCACTAAATCACATTACTAAAATAAACAGAAGCCTTTCAAACCAGAAAAATATTTGGTGGAGGCAGTAATAGGAAATATAACTAGAGGAACATATTTCTCATTATTTATTAAGGAATACCCAAATATCAGTTCCCAGTTGACTCTGAAAATCTATGAAATCAGCCAAAAGGAATTACCTCTACTTCTCCACAATCACATTCTTCCCCTTCTTCCAGATATCCATTTCCACACCTCTGTCCTCCATATAAGGTCTTGGTATCTGGCATATTGTAAAGACACATGCCACCGCCAGATTGCAGATACCGTTCCAGCTCTTTCCTATTGCATTCGTTGAACACTCTGGGGAAGGGTGCCCTGTAAACACCCAAGGAGCAAAAGGGCAATCTTGAACTGAGTAATATTATTCAAGCATTAGTACCTCTGAAAGTGCTGGACCACAGTTTCCAAAACTTCTAGCTACTGAGTGAAGGCCAGGTTACAGAATGATATCAACATATTCTTACAACTGAAACTGTATTTGTTCTTTTGATAAGTATTATTGTAACTTTAGTGACTCACTTGACTTAGTCCACTAAAAGTGGAGCTACCACTTGAGGGGAAGGAAGGAAATGGGAAAAAAGTTGATACACTTTGCTGGAAGGTTGATGTTGGCTGAATGACAATTATGTCCCTGATCACCTAGAATAAGGGCTATAGCTTAAAATGACAAATTCTAACTTGCCAGCTGCTGTGATTGCCTTCCTATTTGGAAAGAACTGCCTTTTGAAGAGTAACTGAAATGTTAGGTTCCTGAAGAATCAGAGGTGCATTTGGACTGATTGCCAATAAAGGTGAAAACAAGCATTGCATACCTCTTTTGGGATAAAGAAGGAATTTGGTTTTGAACTGATACCCTCTAAGTGAACAATGTTTTGCTCAATTCTTTAAATACGAAACAACTAAGGAAAAATTTGCAATCCAAATCTTTGCATGTCTTATGCCACCCTAATTCCATATGCTGTGGGAAAAGGCTATAATGTAAAAGGCAGATCCACCAACACTGCATTTTTTGTTTTTCCTATAACTGTAATCTTTCTTATGTTAAATACCCAAGCTCTATTTTATTACCTTTACTCCTGACTTTAAGTAGTAAATTGAATTCTACTGAGATAGTGAAAAAAGGGTACAGCAACATCCACAGTGTGTGTAAAATTATGATATTGAATTATAATATTATTTAAATACAATATTAAATACTTCTGAGATGTTACAATGTAAGCCCTGACTCTTTTGTACATGTGCACATACAAAAGGTGTGGAGCTTGTCTTACGACACTATTGTCCACCATCTTGCCTGTTTTGATCCTCCCTGCAGATGCTCTGGATGGGTTACACATGCATTGGTCATGGCCCACACAGTAATTCAGATAGTCCCTTTCCTCATGATGGTCTTAATTTAAGTGAAACACTTTATTGGTGCTGATTTTTTGTACACTTGCATGAACAACTTACCCTGTTGCAGCAGCCATAATACATCCTCCATCTTTGGGACTGGCAGAGCAGCAGCCGGCTGAATCATGGCTCATGCCAAAGTTGTGGCCCATCTCATGGGCCATAGTGGCAGCAACTCCAATGGCGTTTTCAGAGTGATCCTGTCCAAGCACAGAATTAAGGTGACTGTCAGCACACTCCCCCTCCCTGCCCACAGAGCCAGGGAGAGTGATTATCAGATTTAGTCCATTAAGACCATAGCCCAATCCTATCCATTTTTTCTATATTTAATGGCACTCATTCATTTTATTTTTATTTATTTATATATAAAATTTATATGGCTGCCCATCTGAAATAAATAACTCTGGATGGTTAACAATCAATGCACAAGAAAAAAAAATATATAATACCCCTGTAAACAAAATGAAAAATACAATTAAAAGTAATGATATGTGATTACATGTACATAAGAATGCAACTCTGACTAAAAATTCTGGAAAACCTATAATAATCCCAGGAATTTGCAGTAGGTTTATACATCATTTAGCAATGAAAGTCAAGGAGCACAATGAAAAAATGGATCCAAGATTAAATATAAAAAACAACAAACTAATGACAACAGGTACAGCAACCAGGCTTAGAAATGACAATGAAGATACCAAAGCGGTGGATAGTTTGTGCTTTTTTAGGATCAACTGGCAACAGTAAAGGAACCAGCAGTCAAGAAATATGCCACAGAGTGGCAGTTGGTAAAGTGGCCATGAAGGCTTTGGAGAGATATTCAGATGCCATGATGTGTCTCTTCCAATAAAGATCAGACTTGGGCAGGCACTGATTTTCCCTGTGACACTCTATGGAAGTGAAAGTTGGACTTTGAAGAAGCAGCACAGAAAGAGTATTGATGCTTGTGAACTTTGGTGTTGTAGAAGATTCCTGAGAATACTGTGGATGGCCAAGAAAACAAACCAATGGATCATAGAACAAATCAATGCAGAGTTCTCACTCTAGGCACAAATAACCAGGCCCAAATTATCCTACTGGACACATTATGCAAAGACCTAACCCTCTGGATAAGTCTATAATCCTGGGAAAGATAGGAGGAAAGAGAAGAAGAAGAAGATGACCAGCAGCAAGGAGGCACTCTCAGAAGACCTGAAGAGCCAGGTCAGGAACAGATTGTCTTAGAGAAAATCCATCTATGTGGTCAGTAAGAGTTGGCACAGACTTGATGGCACAGTCATCATTATGAATTATGCATCATTAGCATATGGCAGTGTTGTCCAAACTTGGCCACTTTAAGATGAGTGGACTTGAACTCCCAGAATTCCCCCCCAGCCATGGACAACACTGCCATATGGAATACTGTTCCAAGGGAATATGGATTAACATTTATTGATATGCCTTTAGGCTTTCCATTGTACTACAGTCACATTTTTCAGAGCACTGAATATTTTGTCATTAGGATCATGTTTAAATAACTACAAGGGAATTTCTTTTAAGGGATATATTCTTAAAAAATATCAAGGGCCTCCTTGCTGATCATACTCATAGTTCATTCTATCAAATATTTGGCTTGTTACAGTGACCAACCCATAAGAAAGGAGCACACCCAGGAATTAGTATTCAGATGTATACAGCCTGTGAACCTGGGGACTTAGTTAAAACTTGCAGCTGATACCTGCTGAAAGATTCAACTTCCACAAATTTGTTTAATCCTGGTTTAAAGCCATTTACACCAGTGGCCATAATTGTGTTTTGTGGTAGTGTGGCAGCATATTCCCTATGTTAATTGTGTTCCATAAAGAAGTACTATCTGTAAAGTCCTTGGGGTTCTCTGAGCTTGGTTGTTTTCTTGCAAACGTTTCGTTACCCAGCTAGGTAACATCTTCAGTACATATATTCTCTTCTACTGGAATTACTATCTTTTGAGTGTTCCAAAGCTGCTGTTAGCATGTTTTACTGGGTGAACATTGTTATTTGACTGAGGTTGCAGACTATATAAAGCAATATGGGCAGAAAACAGCAGAAAAAGCAGAGTGCTCCTCTGATTATTTGACCCCCCCTTTGTGGAGAAGCCCAGCAGCAAAACAATTAATTATCTACCCCCTCCACCTTCTGAAAAATACTCTAATTTTCTTTCCCTCCCCCCGATTAAACAATCCAGGTTTTCAAACTGAACCCTGAAATTCCATCCTTCTTATCAAAAAACCAGCTTAAAGAAAAGGTGGGAGGAATCTATAGCATAAAGCATCTTTTCTTTTGCTTTGGTTTTGTTCCTATTTATTTCAAACAGTCTTGAACAAGGGAAATATTTATTTATCAAGAATAACTTACCATATTTACTCCTCCAGACTGATAAGCAGAGCACATGACCATCAGAGGGGCCAAGCCAATAGTAGTGCCATGGAAGGACATCCCGCTGTGCCACATTACAAGAGAGAAAATGAAATTGTGAATAAAAGTTGTCCACCTATGCATGCAGTTAAATTTTGAGAGAAGATAATTTTATGTAGCCTAAGATGACTGCTTGCACTGCATTCTCCTAAGACAACAGTGAGGAACTGGATCAGATCTAACTTTGTATACCATCTAAGGTATGATAGATGATCTCACAGGGAAGAACTTAAGAAGAGAGACTTAAAAGGAAGTCTCACCCTTCTTCCAAACTACATTTGGGATCTCATTCATTTCTCTATGCAGAAAGGAATGGGGAGTTATGCCTGCATCTCCTTTTGTACAGGGAAAAGCATTCCATATAGGAAGAACTGGCACTCCCTACACTATGCTTTTCTCTATATAAACCAAAGCAGAAGGTACTGACCCAACCTAGCAGGCCAGATTTGGTCTGTGGATTCAAGGTTCCTTATCCCTGCTGTAATTGGCATTCTGGAGAACAGGAGTCGTTATTCCAATGTCAGCAACTTACGTAATCAGCTGGGCATTGTCATGCTTTTTATGTATTAGTAATCTACGCCGCCAAGCAAGAAAAGACCAGAGGGTTGAATGTGGGTTCTCAGAGATGTCACACTTATTGTAGTCATTCCAGACTTCAATTCCAACCAAAGCAATCCGTATGTTTAATGATCTGTAGAACTGAAAGATGAGGAGGAGGAGGAGGAAAAGAAAAAGAGCTTTAGTCAATCAACAGGCTCATCTCTATGAAACATTAGCTCTAACATGAGCTACTTTTCTAAGAAGGGATTGTGCCACATTCTCTCTTATTGGTTCTCCCTGAGAAGGAAATGTACATGGAACACAATGTGAAGGTGTTCCATAAACCCCACTGAATTGAGTTCTTTGGGTTCACAGGTTTCTAGGATTGGTCTCCAAATGGAAGAGATGTCATGAAGCATAGAAGCAGCAAATATCACTTCTCTGCTCTAAAGTCTCCACCCACCATCAGTGGCCTTTTTTTTGTGCAACACTGTCATCACATTTTCAATATCATAGGAAAAAAGGATGAAATAGAAAAAGTTTACCCAATTCTTATTACTAAGATGGGTATTAGTCGCCTGCAGGAAATTTGTAATGAAAAGCTACAATATCCTACACTATTGAATCATTGAGAAAGGGTTTTAAAAAAATATCAAGCATATTGCTTACATATCTTAAAATGAGATTAAACAAAAACTTTTGTTTATCTATTGGATTCCTCAGATAATGTCTAAAAAAGAGTTGGTTACCAACTCCATTATGACATAAGTGTCATATAGATGAGAGAACATTTACTCATATGATATGGTTCTATTAATGTCCCCTTTTTGTTTAATATTCATTAAATTATTAATACGCTGTTATAAAGATCACTGTTGTTTAAAGATGTGAAGGTGCTCTTGAACTGTATACCAAAATTTTGGAATCTACAGTTATATCTGTAATTATTCATATAATTATAGATTCCAAAATTTTGGTATGTGATCATGGATGAGGGCTAGAAAGGAAGATAATTATTTCAGAGTGGAAAGACAGAGTTATTCTGGATTAGGGTCTTGGACTACCAATAAGTAATCATTTCCTATTTATAAAGTGACATTCCATTGATATCATGGAAAGTCTGATTAATATTGTCTTAACGTTTGGCTGTGTGTGTGTGTGTATTTATATATATAGACACATTATAAAATTTATTTTATTTATTTATCAAATTTATATAGCTGCCCATCTCATACAAGGTGACTCTGGGTGGTGTACAACAATTAAAAAAATAAATACATAAAAACAACTACATATAAAAGGCTGTAAAAACACACAAAACAGGAGGGAATAAAATTAATAAGGG